CCCTAGTATCCCCTCCATCCTAACCCCAGCCCGTTTACTATCATCTACTAGTGTACCAAAACGGATAAAGACTTCCTCTCTCATGTTTGGGTTCACGATACATGAAATACTATCCATCTCACACAACGGCCTTTATTAAAACTTTGTCCAAATGTATCATTTGATTCTGTTGCTGAACATTCAGGGATTTGCTAATTCAGACATATTAAAGCAAAACAATAATATTTAAAGGGTCAGTGACAGGAGGTTTCCGGCCAGAAATTGTTGGTCGTGGAAGTTTTGACACAAGACTGATGGCGGATACAGGACTCGGAGAAATGTACCTCTTTATTATTGACAAACCCCATAAAACAATAATATGATCCCATAGACAAATATCGCTGTCCTCCCAAAATGTGCCAGAAAGTTCAGTTGCTGCCCAAAAATATTAACACATTGATGAGCCATTAGTTGCACTGCTTTAGGAAATTCCCTGGCCTTTTTAAAAACATGCAAATAAATAATTGAGTGCAGTTTTTTAAAATGTAAGTTATAGTGGGAACAGCAGGCCATAAACAGGGTATGGAGAGTACTGTACTGAGAAAGAGCCTAACAAATTATTGGTTTTGGCCTTTTCATGGGTTTTTTGAGAATAATAAAAACATAGATAAATGCCAGACTTATTCTTTAATATAGCACCAGCCATTTTCGATTTTATTCAAACATGTGTTCAGAGTCTGAAGGTCCTGGGCAATTGAATTTCCAGATATCTGTAACATAATAGTTTGATATATCCAGTGATGATTATACTGATTTTGAAATTTTTAGCAGAGTTTCCACTTCTGGGCCAAAATCAGAAACTTGATGCCTGTGAGCACTGTGAAAACCAAATTGTAATAAAAATGTTTCCTAACAGACCACTGAAAACTAGACGCAGCCAGCAGCAAGCTGTGAAACTGAGCTCATTGCAAAGAACAGAGGCATAGGATAGGTCAGAGGAAATCTGATAAATACTGATGTGAGTGTGTGTATTCACATCACTGCACATGTGTTTGCCAGTATGGCTAAACAGAAGGCTTACTGGCTCTGTGGTTCATGATGCTAGAGGGAAACTGGAAAGCTTCTGACATGACTAGAGCTACCTCTCTCTCCTAGTCAGTGTGTGCTTGTGTCTGTGTTTAAGAACACACCCCAACCAAATCCAATTAGTGTGAACCCACTTAAGACACATGTTGCTGTTAATATACCCAAAGAGACAATCAAGCCTTCACAGGGAAAACCAAGGCCAGAGAAATGACACTGGAGACCAAAAGGAAATCTGGACTTGTCAGTTGTAAGAAAAAATTATGACAAGGATAATACTGACAATAACTGTGTCAGGAGGAGCAGTAATGCTCACTGCAACCTTTCAGAAGTACAGCCGCTGAGTCTGGCTCATATATCTCTAGTCAAGCAGTCTTCTTTCCATTCCTCTCTTATTATCAGGCCCTGACATCTCCTCCATTCTGGGCAGCCAGCGGCTTAGTCTGACGCACTGAAGCAGAACCAGGCAGATGGAGAGCAGTATATTGATTGTCATGGTGACCTTTTCTTTATCACTGTTTCAGGGCTGTGGGGGGTTGGCATTCTGTAAGGCTTTGGCTCACCAGCAGCCTAGGCAAAAGACAGAAACACTGCCCACACAGATGACATTCATAGGTTGCTCATTCCAAATTATAATCACTGTGGTCTCAGTGGAATGGTACCTTCAGCTAACAACCACCTATGTAGGGATAGGCTGCTAATCAATAAAACTGACCGTGTTGATAGAAATTACTGTTTATGGTCATGGAAGGGAGGTGTGTATTGTGTTATTCTATTTTGTAACATAGAATTATGACAATAATTCCAATAGTGTGAGCACTTCGGCCACAATAATAGTTTGAAATGTTTATATAATCCTTAACAATTACCATTAGCACTATACTGTGACTGTATTATTTCTGGCAGTTTAAAAGGCTGTGACCTCATCCATCAGTTGTAATAATCACCCTTATTTGGCCAAGTATGTTACACACAATTGTTTCCGGTAGAGAACTGAGGCAGCCATCTGTGGCACCAACTCACATCAATGGCTCTAACCATCGGGGGCAACTTGGGGGTTCAGTGTCTTGCCCAAGGACACGTCGACATGTGGACTGGAGGGACTGTGATTTGAATCTCCAACCCTCCGGTTGGGAGACAACCGCTCTACCCACTGAACCACAGTCACTCCACATAGCTATACCAGATTCCTTTTTGATCTTTAATCGTTTAGGAATTTGATTATCAAAACGTATGGATTATTATATTTCATAAGCACTAAGCCATAATGTCATTTAATTAAATGACCACCAGAATTTTTTTGTACATTGCATTTTTCTAATAAAAGAGGGAAAACTGAAAGTAATAAAAGATCTGATAAGATAATTATTTAACTCAAACTGAAGCATTTTACTGTGTACCATAGCACCCATCTGTTAGTGGTGCTATAGTGTGAAGCCACTGAAGCAACTAAATGAAGATACTAGCCTTTGGTTGAGATTTTAGTGCAGAAAAAACAAACTGTTCATATGCAGAGAGCCGGAGGTGAACATATGCATAAACCACTTCTGGAGCCTGAGGCATGGTTAAGAGGATATTTGGAGATGGCGAAGGAAAAAGGGGTCTGTGTATGTGCCAATAACTGCAGTTGGAGATCTATATTTGAAACAGACCAGAAATGCCAGTCCATACTTTTAAGTGAAGTGGTGAAGAGAAAATAAGGAGAATGTAGAGGAAGGAAGTAATAGAACCGACAGGGCAATAGACATTATTGACAGTGAAGGTTGGGAAAGGACATCTGTGGATGGAGTGGGTAACCCCATGGAGCCATAGAATCCAGATGGGACAGAAACAGGTAGAAAAATGTATTGATTTCTATAATGATAATGGATAAATGAAGAGAGAAACACATGCAGTTGGAATGAGGAGAAATGTGAAAATCCAAAAAGTGATGTCAAGTTTTAGTTTTATCAATAAGTGATTATAAACCTTCAGAGAAAAATCAGAGCAGGGAATGGCAGGAATTACAGGTCAGGGACAGAGCTCTTGGACTTCTGACAAACATCCAGCTAAGTACACATATTCATCCTCACAAAGCCTACAACACAAGAATACGCAAAGATAGCAGGAGGGGAGCAATGAATGATCAGAGCATCCAAAAGAAAACACCAACACACACATCATCCACAGCACATGGCTGGCCTGCCAGCACAGCAGTGTGACCTTTGTAGAAGGAAAAAGGGGTGGAAGAGAAAGGAAAAGATGAATGACCCCCAGCTGTTGGTTTAGATGACAATAGTAGAACAGACGGTCCTGGCCACATCTCTCAAAAAATTAAGCAATCAGCATGTAAATATATCTTTAAAAAAATGAAATGTTCTGCTTGCATTTAAAAATATTCCATGTAACTGTCTGTCTTAAACTGTAGTTAAAGGCCTGTGCCATGGGGCCTGTTTACTATTAGAAAACTGAGTTAAAATAAATATGTAGTAGATCCTAATGTGATCAACTCATACTCAGATAATCAAATCACTCCAGACTGGGAAGCCCCTCTGTTTCTCCCTGAACTTCAGTCACACAAACCACTTCAAATAGGTTTTTATATTATGGTGAATTATCTCCTCCTGGAGAGCAGAGGACTGAGATAAAGAGAGCTCTGTTAGCAACTTACTGGCTCAACATCAGTGGTGATGTGATGTGGTACGGTGCAGATAATCGCAACACTGATTCAACTAGTATGAAAAGCCAGAAACCAAAGACCTTCAATCCCCTGCCTTCACGCTCAACTGTGGTCCGTCAAACTTTCCTTTAATCCTTAACAACCCTATGCATGCCAGACATACATAAGCCACCAACATCGCCATCTTCCCCAGAGCTCCTTACCCCTGGGAAAACCATCTCCTTGCTTGCAAACTGTCGTCACTACTCACCACACCCCGGTCTCTAATTTAACCAGAAACCTCATGTTTGGTGCCAGCCAAGCCCGGCCTCAGATGGTTCCTTGTGCAACCTCCAGCCCTGAGCTTAATTCAAACTTCATCTCAGCATTACCTTACAATCAAGCTGCAGTCACAGTTTTCAACACTTGAGGATGGGTATCAAATAACTGCACCACTCAGACATTATTTGGGTTGCAGTGAATGAAGCCAATTCAAACTGATGTGCTTTGTATACATAAAACTAAAAAAAGAAAAAAAAATTGCACACTTTCAGTGGCATGTTTCTACTTCAACAGCGTTCAGAAGCAACAAGATTTTTTTTGCCTTAAGTGCAAGGCCGTCTGCTATATACAGTATGTTCACACTGAACCAGCATGTTAGACAAGCATATTCAAGCTGTTTGTCTTGTGTGTTTACTTTTTTCACAGCTAATTTCTGCCCGTTCCATTGTCCGACACAGCTCTCAACACAGTTTAACAGATAAAATCCATGTGTAGATGAAACACCTAGACAGATCCAATTTAAAGTTTAGTTGGTAGCTTCACCCTGTGATGCAGAAGGTTTAATCTAATTTTATGTGGCATATTCAGTGTATGACTTGTATTGCATCATCACCATCTCATTCACCTTTTGTGGTGGGAGACACTGTTTACAAGGTTTTCTACTCCCACACCAATCTGCTGGTCCAGTGGATTGGTGTGGGAGCAGCCATGCGATCTAATAGGATCCTCCACTGGGATTTCTGATATTCATTCATCATCCATAACAGACACATAGTCTGCATGCTTACAGAGACAGAGTGAGTCTAAGAAGAATCCTTGAATGTACACACAAAACAACCCCTATAGGACAAAGACAGGAGGTGGGGGCTTTTGGAAAATTCAGTATGGGAACATCAAATAAAATAACTGTTATCTGAGTAACTGCGTTGGAGCTGAAGTGTTGGGAGCATGCATTAATGAAACAGGGCCAGTCACACAATTTTTTTCACATTCATTTTAATCAAAAGGAATTGGTCACAACATAATGCCCGGTTATTAACCGCTCTAGGCAAATTATATTCAACTCAGAAATGGCACTTTTCTTACACTGGGGCCCAGACAGGTTATCAGACAATTAAATAAACTCTGGCCATACTGACAACATAACGTTTGTTATAGCTGACTGCTGTGTCATCAGTACTCGATTTGTACCCCAGGAAAAAGGCAGAGTAGGTCACTAATGTAGGAGATTTACACTAACAGGAAAACATTTGGGACTTCTTAGGAATTTCACAATTTAAAAGACTATAAAGGACATAAAGGATGATTTTTAGAATACACCTTAACACTAGTGATATACAGTGCCTGTTTGCTTGGCTCAAGAGTGACACAGAGTGGTCAATGCACAAAATGCAACATCACTTAAGCAGTTCTGTTCGCAACCTGCTTGGAAATTTGAAACACATTATTATTTCCTTTGAACAGAGGCTTATTAAAACATAATATTACTGTCAAAGCCTAAGAACAGCCTAAGAAACAAACAACTCTAATGCTCTAAAGCATTTGACAAATTGATGTGAAATGTTTTAGAGAGAGACATCCTCCCAAAATAGTATGTAGGATTTCATTCATTGCATAAAAGTATATATTTTCTTGCTGATGACAGGTGAATCTGTGACCAGAGAAAAAGTTGAATCACTAAAATGTGGAAGTGGATGTAGCCACTGCAGTGTATATTATTGATATGCGGGTGGTCGTGTCTATCTGAGTCTCTACAAAAACACCTTTATTTGCTGTTGTATTTTCTTCCCTTTTGGATGGCTGACAAGGATTTCAGATTCAAAACTAATCAAACCGGTTAATAATTATTTCATTTGCCAAAGGTGTTCTTCTTCTTTATGTTTACATTCCAAATCCAACATTAGACATGATAACAAGGTGACTAGCTAGTAACTTAGCTGACTGGATGTCTAATTTGTGAGAAAGCTTTCCATCACCACAAAGTTACCACTGTTTAAGACAAGAGATCAAGCTCCATTAGTGCTGGTTTTTAGTAAGCAACAGGAAGACACATCCATACAAACCTAAAGTGCAGAATATTCTTCACCAACATTGGTCTTTTCTGGGACTGACTAGATTCTCCTAAAAAATAATCTCACTTTTCATTTGTACTTACACAAAGTTATACACATAATTGAACAAAATAGAACAAATAACAGGAAAAAAATTAACAACTACATAAAAAATTTACATTTGATTTGTTAAATTATTTGCACTTTTATGATAAACTCCATAAAATACACAACAGTGTTTCCAAAGGGAGTCTATTTCTATGATACACCATTTGGACTTGACTCACAAAGCAACACTAAACTATGTGGTTTACCATCTCTGTGCTAGAAAAAAAAATCTCTCTCTCTCCACCATACCCTCCAAAACAAACAAACAAACAAACAAACAAACAAACCTCAATGGAACCATACTGAAAGTCCACCCTGTTTCATTCTTAATGTGGAATTTAGTGAATAAAATGCATCTAAAATGTAGATATGTTTAAAAAAATATAAGAAACTTTATATATTCAAAACGATTTGTGCTGCATTGCATAATATTTCTGCAACTGATCATCTTTTTAAAGATTACCATTACATTAAAAAGGAGAGACAGACACAAAAGTTCATGACCTGTTCATGACCTGTTAGATTTGACACGTACCACTCAATATCGATTCTCTGAATGGTTCCTACGTCGTATCCTATTCATGGTGTCACTTTGGTATGCACCTTATCTAACAATGTTCTGTGAGAGCTGGTTTGCCTAACACTCTGTTGTATCTATATGCTTTTTAAATTCTATGGCACAAAAGACCCACTGCAACAAAACCTAAGCATGACTCAGTAACCTGCATTATTAACTTATAAAATTAAAAACAATAGTCACTGGGCTACATTTGGAAAGAATATCTTAGAAAAAATGACTGAAGAAAAGATGCCCAACGTGTTGGTGAGGTTTCAGCACTCCTTAAAGCTCATGTAAGAGGAGAACTGCTGTCATTCTGATTAACAGCAGAATCCTGTTCTGGCTTTCTGTCCTCTCTGGTAACATCCACTCCTATCAGAGCCAACACCCTAAAGCAGAGGGAAAGAAACACAGGCATAAGAGTATCATGTGGCTCAAACTGTACACATGCACCTCAGTTGTGTTAATTCATATTGATGTTGTTAATTTCATTTGGCAATTGGAGTACTGAACACACAGTAAATGAATTTACAAGGTACTCAATAACAGTAGAAACATGTTTTGTTACTACAAATGGGATAGTGATCTTAAAAATAGCAGCAACACACAGGTTTTAGATTAAAACCGCATCACCAACTTGCTTATATGGAATTCAACTAACTTGTCATTTTAACAATTTATTGAAGTGGCAAAGTTCAAAATGTAGATATTCATGCTGGCCAGAGGTTGCTGAACCAGTTGGATTGTTGTTCTATAATTACCCACTATGAAACAGAAGAAGCAGTGCATGTGAGGGATTAACTCAAGGAGTTTTGTTTCATGCTATACCACCCCAAGACTGAGTCAGCAGCTCTACTTTGTCAAGTCAGTGTAACTAAACAAACATAAGAAACTGTGTACCACAGGCAACTATCCTTTTAGTTTTGCCACTGCTACATAACAGAACATCAAAGCTGATGTTGTAGAGTCAAAATATGAGTTAAGGATATAATCAACCTTTCAGAGATTTAAATCTCTGAAGTATGCAAGTATGAAGAGGGAAACTGGTTGTGAGGGAAGTTGGAGGCATTGAACGCATGAATGAGGAACTAAGAGTTGTTATCTGAGAGCCTAAATCAAGCGAAGTGTTTCTCTTGCTATTTAAGCAAAACTGGCATTGACGCAGCAGAAAAAGATGCAATGCAACTTAAACCACAGAGTATAACATTAACAACATGATGAACTTACCCTAGGATGCACAAAGGGATCACACAAAGTCCTGCAGACAACAGGAAGACAAAGCCAGGGTACCAGTGCAACGTAGCAGCATAGACACTGTTGAAGACTGCAGGCGATGAACTGTTAATTAAACTCTCAAAAAAGGAAATACAGGCAAACAGGGCTCCTAGGAGAGAAGAAAAAACAATTTTTAGACAACATCTGACAACTACAATCAGTTTCAAGATTCCCCTTTGCTTCAATGAACAGAAACCTGGAGCACTTTGTTTTCAAGTGCACCATGATGTTGCTGGGACAGGCCACTCTTCAATTTACTCTACAAACACACAGACATGGTACTATGGCTCATGGAAAGCCCCAAACCCACTCACCCTGCTCAGACTTTGAGATGATCTTTGACATCATTGAGCGCATAACAGGAAAAGGCATGACGGCCAGAAGCATTGGCACCCTCACTGCAGTAAACAAATGACACAAGGTAGACAGGTAACCACACTGAATTTTAAAATACACACATCAAAATAAAAATAAAAAAGTGTTGCTTAAGTTTATTTTTGTACAAAGGTGTGCAGAACGTCATCAAACGAATAGGTTTAACTTCTCTCACTTGGATTCTAATGATAATTAAAATAAGTGTTTTGAATTGGAACAGTACTTGGGCTGTGACTGATGACCTTTCACAAGCCCACCAGAACACAAGTACAGAGAAGAATGTAGAAAGGCCAACCGTAACTTATCATAATTATATTGTCTTAACTGATTATGAAGCAATAAACTAATAAAATTCACAAGATACTACTGTATAACATTTATACACATTGGAAATGTGATAGTAAAAGTAGGATCTGTCAATCAGTTATCTGTGTGACAGGTCTGGTTTATGTTACTCTTCTGTAAACCACTTTATATTATTTTCTGCACCTTAATTGTGCCTTATTCTTAAACAGATATGCCTGTTGTTTTACAATTACTTATTTTAAGTAGAGCACACCGAGCTACATGTAATAGTGTATATTGGAAAAGGTACATAACCAGAGATGCTAACATATTTTTCCATATACAGTATGACAGCTGGTAACACTGAGGCATGTTAGTTAGCTATTAAACAGGGTTTAAAGGCCACAAATCCTGAACATTATTTCACAACACAATTTCCAATAGCTGACAGAGGAGAAGGTGAAACTGATAACTCTCTAATGTTCTCGTCAAACTGTTGAAGTTTATTGAACTTATATAAACATAGGGCAAGAATAACTTTAACAAATGCAGGTTTTATGCATATAACCTGTTTGTGCTATATCTGACCTTGTAAACAATTGCTAGACAAGGCCTTGGTGGTTTATTTACACTAAAAATGGGGTTCAGAACTGCTGTACACTGTTGGTATAAGTAACATTGTAGTTGTGAATATGTTTTTTCTCACCTATAAACATCAGTAAAGTGGTCTTAGCAAACGCTGCCAAGACCATGCCAGAGAAAACAGATAGGATCCCCATCAGGATAATGAACAGCTGTGGTACACCGCAGTACATGAACACTGACACTCCCACAAAACTGGTCAGGAACACAGCAGTGGACAGTGCTGCGCCATAGCCAATCAAAATCTCAGTCCAGCACAGCGGTTCATTGAGCTCATATAGTGTCATCAAGGAGATCCCACCCACATAGGCGAAGGAGGTGGTGAAGAATATGAGCATCAGGAGAACCAAAACAATTTTACACTTGTGACTAGCCCCTGCAAACATATAGTAGACCCCGGTGATCATCTGTTTCAGTGCTGAGCGCTGAGTAGACCCATCTAGAACAATGGCACCAGGGGGAGGCGTCCTCACAGTCTCTTCTAGGATGAAGATTGCATAGACTAGGATCAAGCACTGACACAACACAGAGGTTAGGAAAGGCCAGTTAAAACCTGCAGCTCTCAGGAAGTAGCCTGTTGATACTGAAGCTACTCCGGACAAAAGGCCAATCATCATGTCCACTCCAGCCATGCGCAGTGTCTTCTGACGACCATCCTCACACAAGTCTGCAATGTAGGCAAAACAGCCCCCGAAAAATGTACTGAAGCCACCAAACAGGGAACTGAGAAATGAGGAGCCTATTAACAGGTAAATGCTGAGCTCAAAGTAGGATACTGTCAGGAGGGCTGATGTGTAGATCAACATGCCTATCAAAGGCATGATGATAGTGATCTTGCGTCCTCCCCGGTCACTATAGCCCACGAGCATGAGAGTGACAACCAAAGATGGGATTATGGAGAAGAGCTCTATATAAAGGAAGAAGAGAGATGACTGTCTTTGTACCTCCTGGAAACACAGAAAGAGGGAGCATGGTTAAGACAATGAATCATGTATAGGGATGTCCAAACCTAAAGAGTGGACTGACACAGGGCTGTCTGGGTTCAAATGAAACAGTGCATCGAAGAGTGATAGTGAATCCAATATCATGAAACCAACAATGAAAGGCTTTGATTTTTGCATTTTCTAAACATTTTAAGTGAAGTGTCCTTATTCAAGGCCAAAAGGGAACAAAGCTTTTCTACAGTGCAACAGGTGCAGTAGTGAAATCAGTATGTTTGGTCTCACTTCTCTGCCCGGTTTCATTCTTCTTCTATAAATATATGTTGAAAATAAAATGTTACTGATATGTTTTTCAGAAGAATATTTCTAATAAATCCTTAAGTGTAGCAACACTGCAGACATAATTTCTATTAATTAAAAAGGGTTTGTGCTCTAACATTTAAATTCCTTTAATAAGGTTAGCTCTTTAGCAAATGTGGTGCTATTACAGTCTGTCAGTGTCTATTGGATCTGAGGACATTAAACTCTGGTCACAGGTTTGATGCAATAGCTGAATAGTTTTTTTTAGGATCCAAAAAGGTTAAGAAGGAAAGTTTATACTGTGTGATGACAGGAAGGGTTTAACACAGACACACATAGTTGCTGAGATATAAACTGTATAGAGTATAGAGCATTATTGTCTGTTTATCTGCAGGTTTCTTTACCTGGCAATCTTCTGTCAGTAAAACATTTATTTTTACAAGCACTAAGAAGTCATAACACAGCTATAATTAAGGGCTAGTCTGTGTAAAAATCTGTCCAGAAATAGTTGTCTAAAAATATTAAACATATCAATGTTATTACAAAATTGCAATACTTATTATAATGAAAATAAGCATAAGCATAAACTTTATGCTTATGCATAAAGTAGGATACTGTCAGGAGGGCTGATGTGTAGATCAACATTTAAACCCCTTTAATAAGGTTAGCTCTTTAGCAAATGTGTTGCTATTACAGTCTGTCAGTGTCTATTGGATCTGAGGACATTAAACTCTGGTCACAGGTTTGATGCAATAGCTGAATAGTTTTTTTTAGGATCAAAAAAGGTCAAGTATTATCAAAAATACAAGGAATTTGACTCCAGCCCGATGCCCCCCAAAGTGCACAGCAATAAACGCAAAATATGTACAAGTTAAAAATCACAAGTTCAAAAAGCAAACATAGACTAGCTGTTCAACAGACCGGCAGAAGAAACTGCCTCTGTGTCAGAAGTGGATACTGGAAAAGTTTAAAATAATTAGGCTACACAAATGCTTGGCATGTTTTAAATGGAAGAAAAGAAAAAAAATTCTTGTAACTAAGAATACTCCTTAAGCCTTTTTTACATAAATGCCTGCATTTTTACATCCAGTGGTTAATGACTAACCTCAAAGTAGTTGGATTGGTTGCTGCTGCTGTTTGTCACACATTTGGAGATGTCAGAAATGGAATTGGTAGTGTTTGTCAGCTCTTTCCAGAGCCTCTGGTACACATACTGCTGCACCAGAGGGTAGATGAGAAAGGCAGAGAAAGAGTACAGGGCCACCACAGGTTCCACAAGGAAGAGACCCTTCATTTTGATGGGTTGCAATTTCCCCTGAAAAAGACATGACAAGAATACATGAACACAGACAGGATAAAAAGACAGGTTAAATGTATATGTTTGAGAAGATATGAGCTGGTTCTTTGAAGTATATAGCATTATTTAAATAATACTGACATAATTGTTGTCTATTGAACAGCTAACACGTCAGCAGCATTCAGGTAGCCTATAATGGACAAACACATTACACAATACTCCTCTTTAAATAGTATAGCATGTCCGAAGTGATGACATAGGTTCTGCCTGCAAGTACAGGTACTACATTTAACTGCCTTATGAAGCTCATCGAGGGAGCTGTCTTCGATACAAAATTATCTGACAGACTGAAACAAAGTGCAATATGATAATAACCTGTCGTTTATGAATGTTGTTTGTGAATACACTATGCTGGAAGACCAGATGGGTCAGGTCAATAATATTTTTAGATAATGGAAGCCTTCAACAGCTTAGCCTTTACCTTATTTTCATACAGTATATTGACAAGGACATACAGCATAACACATACCTTTTTAAAAAGTCCTTCGGTTCATGTTTTAATCAATAAATTAGTACCCGAAATATAATCTGTTTACGGTACCGGGAAGAACTCTTCTTTTATACAGACGTATACACCCCATATTTTCGACGGCATGACGTCGCTCCTAAAGTGCCAAGGCCCCGCCCCTCACCATGTACCTCTGTACAACAATTTGTCAGGACATGCGTGTATTCGAACTGGAAACTGTCAATCATGATTAAAACCGGAAGAAAAGATGGTATGATCTTGGGAATGTTTTTTTTTATTGAATATTAATATTGTAGCGTCCCGCAGGACACAAGGAAGACAACCTTGAGTGCCGACGAATAGTCGCTTTTTTATTAACTCCACACAACCGGTTACTGTTGGCCGTAACCACGCCAAAACAAAAAACAACAGCCCAACAACAATAAGAAAGAAAAACAGCCTGCTAACACCCTCTGTAGCTCCAAATCTACCATACTGTATAGTAGGCAGTAGTAGGCGAGGCGAGTAGTACGTCCGAATCTCATTCATACTACCAGGCTTCATACTATACAGTACCTACTGTTTTAACGGTCAGTAAGTAGGTACTTCATCTCTTTCAGTACGTACTGTCACAGTATGCGGTTTCGGACGCAGCCCCTCTGTAGCTCAAATCCCCACAATTCACTCCCTCCCGCTCTCACACGTTTTAACCCCTGAAGCTCCACACCCATCAAGGAACCATAACAATTTAGAACATCATAACATGCCAACTGAAGGATCACTACAATATGTTTAACTTGATTTAGCTTGCAAATGTTTTATTTACGTATCTAATGAGTCACTTAGCCTTATACAGAAGTGTACGCTAACATTTTACTAAGTATTACGGTAATGTCAGATAGGAGTGCTCTGTGTTGGAATGTACCATTGTGCCAACAAACCGGGAAGGATTGTGTTATGACAGCGGAGTAACAACCCGGCGGGGGGACACGGTAAGGCAAAATTTAGTTTTCCTTCTGTGTCAATTTAATCAAACCTACAATTGTGAGGTGAAGCAGTAATTAAAATGCATGCACAGTTTTATATGTTTTACATGGCATAGTCGCTAAATGCATATATAACAGAAAATTACAGGTTATGATCCCGGACATGCAGCAACGTTAGAACCACCATCAAGATATCGTAAGCTAGCGACTCATAGCGACCCTGTAATAAATCTAACTAACTTACGCTAATTTAGCTAGCGTTGGCCGCTAGTATTCATTAGCTAAAAGACAGCGACATATTTTCGCTGTATCATTTTTTTCTCCTTCTTGTTTTTTAAATGGGTTTCCATCGTACAAAATCTGAGTTTCTGTTAAAACTAGCCGGCGGGGTAAACGTTAGCTTCAGGTTCGCCTGCTGCATTTAAGTCGTGACTGTGTCTGTCAGGATGGATGATATTTCGGCCTAACCAACGTTTTCATTCATATTACTCCTGACTTCCATCCATCTGCAATATTCAGGTAAAAGTAACATCATTCGTCATGTGTATGGGCCTTCGCTATATCCGTTATTGACAACACGTTAGGCTTCTGATTTCGCAACGTAGCGATATATGTTGTCGTCCATCCGGATCACACAATTTATTGCCTAATTACATGGCAGATTTTCGTAATGAAGAGGGGATTTGTTAGAAATTGATACGTTTAAACTCAAATATCGTATTATCCGCAATCTCAGTGGTGTACAGTTATTTATACTTTTTTAAAAGGACCCTTTATCTGGTTTACTCACACCTTTAGCTATACAAAAGGCAATCTTTCTAATAACAGTTTTTTAATCCATTAATCCTAAAATTGCAACCTCTATAGGGTCAGATCTTGGTCACTTCTCCATCAATAATAAATAGAACATCTTGCACTCTAGTAGCCATCGAACTACAGATGATGCATCGGATTGGAATATATCTTGTCTGATCTGCTGTCATTCATTGTTTTTGGTTTCCAGGTTATAATATAGGTGTTTTTATCTTGGATCAACAATGGCCTTCAGCAAAGGATATCGCATTTACCACAAGCTGGACCCTCCTCCCTACAGTGTCATAGTGGAAACTAGGACTAGGGAAGAATGCCTCATGTTTGAGTCTGGGGCTGTTGCTGTTCTGTGTAAGGAATTTTGTTAGATTTTAATAAAACATGACTTTAATATTTTTGCAAGCTCAAATAAGGCCCCAAATAAGGATTCAATATGGGAAATGCACCTACAGGAGACTTAACATTGACTGCTGAGTAGTTGATGTGATTTTATGCTATGATTAAGTCATAAGCTACATTTAATTTAAAGTCTGAAGAAAAACACTATAGATATTTACCTTAAACCATGTTGCTTTTATTTTTCTTGTAGCGGCAGCAGAGAAAGAGGCCATTAAAAACACATACACCAAGATTTTTGATGCCTATGGAATCCTGGGTGTCCTCCGTCTAAACCTGGGTAAGCTACAGAAACGTCTCTATTCATTGTTGTAGATTTTGTGGGTCTGGTCCATGTTTTGACCTCTATGTTCATGTGTGCCTGTGGCCCTGTCCCAGCTTACTTTTAAGCTGCTTTTTCCTGTTCGCCATGTGACCTTGAGTTTCTGTTAAAACTAGCCGGCGGGGTAAATGTTAGCTTCTTGTTATCAGAACAAGGAAAAAGCTGCATAAAAGATTAAAGTTCAGTTTAGATGGTTGAGATTTGACTGTCTGGTGAATATATATATTTTTACATAAGAGTAGCGGCAAATATTTTAACCATTTATTGTCCAGTTTCTTAATGCTTAATGTTTTATTGTATCTTTTCCTAATGCAGTTCTTTTTGTCTGTCAACATACTGCTGGCTTCTGTTTATTTTTTCCTTTACAATTATCCTCATATTCCACCTTACTTCTGCAGGTGACTCTATGCTCCACAGTCTGGTGGTTGTGACAGGATGCAGTTCGGTGGGGAAGGTGCAGGATTCAGAGGTTTTCAGGGTCACACAGACAGACTTTATATCGTTAAAGAATGATCCAGGAGATGAAGACCGGATCGCTGAAGTGAGAAAGGTCCTAAACTCAGGGCACTTCTACTTTGCCTGGTCTTCCACTGGAGTCAGCATGGACTTGAGTCTTAATGCACATCGCAGGATCCTAGAAGACACTACAGATAACCGCTTTTTTTGGTAAGTTATTTGCAGATTTCTAGGCATGAATTTAGCTTTTAAAATCTATGAAGTTGTAGCCATGAGTTCAATACAGGTTCTGCATTCAGCACAGTCTTCCATTTGTGGTGATCTAGTTTCTTCTGAATGTGTGACGTGGGGGCTGTGTGATTTGCAAGTAAGGTGTGAAAATGAACTATTCACACTGAACTTGTTAGTTTTACTATTGATGCTTTCTTTTTGAATTAATAGGAACCAATCACTGCACCTGCACCTGAAACATTATGGAGTAAACTGTGATGACTGGCTGTTGAGGCTGATGTGTGGTGGTGTGGAGATCAGGACCATCTATGCAGGACACAAACAGGCCAAGGCCTGCATCTTCTCCCGCCTCAGCTCAGAGCGAGCTGGTACGCGATTTAACGTCCGAGGAACAAATGATGATGGGCAGGTGGCCAATTTTGTGGAGACTGAACAGGTGATTCGCAGCTTTTACAGTTTCATTGAGTCTCTCTTCTTGTTTGAGAGGTGATAGGGTAACAGTGTGTTTCATGCAGTATTTAAATCAGTTTCTGTTGATTAGAGTATATACAGTGGGTACGGAAAGTATTCAGACCCCCTTAAATTTTTCACTCTTTGTTATATTGCAGCCATATGCTAAAATCATTTAAGTTCATTTTTTTCCTCATTAATGTACACACAGCACCCCATATTGACAGAAAAACACAGTTTTTGACACCTCCTGTCACAGACATAAGTATGGGAGCGAAGGTCAGACATCCTCCCATTTCTTCCTCCAGCACTTCATGAATGAAATCCCTCCCTGCTGAGCGGTGAGTCCCGGATATCGTTTAGATTAAGTCTGCAGTCCTCCATGTATTCTCACTTGTGTTTGTTTTATAATTGATTTATTCATCCACTTTTCTTTCAATAATAAACTATTTAATGTGCAATTCCTGTGAGTTCCTGTGATGAAAGATTCATACTGTCGATTTTTAGTTTTCACCTACACTTTAAAAGTCTTCATCTGAAAGCACTGGTTTGGTTGGCGCAGTAAAAACAACATTTTCCTGTCTGGTTTTCTAATATAAAATATGAAGAATATTTAATTTGACTGATGAGGGTCATTATTATAAAGATAGTGTTTTTGTTTGTTTGGTAAGTACATGTTAAGTACATCTTGTCAGTCAGAATGAAATATCCTGATGTAGAGTACTTTGAAAAGTGCACTCATATGTCATCATAAACCACATTATTATGATTTACCATTTAGATTCATTCTGAAGATGTTAGATATTACCAGGCATCTGAGGAAAAGTACAACCGGGTCATGTACAAACAAATGTTTTCTTTTTCACAGATTTGACACCACATAAAAAAGAAGACAGTTAAAAAAAGGGGAAGTGGCAAATTTACTGAATCTCAAAACTCAAAACTGCTTTGTGTGGTCACACAGCTTTCTCCTTCCCATTTTTATTCAACCACCAAACCTACAACTGCTTTTAAGAGAAGCACATTAAATCACATTTTTGACCATCTTTCCCACATTTTCACACCGACTCATCTATCTGGGTGAAACAGACCAAAATGCCACTGAAGCAAAATGACATGTTAAACATGACGACCAACGTTTACCATCCAACCTGACAGCACTGGAGAGGATCTGCAAGGAGGAATGGCAGAGGATCCCCAAATGCAGGTGTGAAAAACTTGTTGCATCATTCCCAAAAAGACTCATGGCTGTATTAGCTCAAAAGGGTGCTTCTACTAAATACTGAGCAAAGGGTCTGAATACTTATGACCATGTGATATTTCAGTTTTTCTTTTTTAATAAATCTGCAAAAATGTCAAACATTCTGTGTTTTTCTGTCAATATGGGGTGCTGTGTGTACATTAATGAGGAAAAAAATGAACTTAAATGATTTTAGCATATGGCTGCAATATAACAAAGAGTGAAAAATTTAAGGGGGTCTGAATACTTTCCATACCCACTGTATGTTCTATGCAAGTTAGTACCAGTCAGAGAAGGCCAAACAGGACACAGGAGACAGTGGTCAAACATATTGTACCACACAATGAAAAGCTTTAGCCAGCTTAATGTTTACATAATGTATCATTTGCATTTGTTCATAAGGCCACAATACCATTGGTCATTCAGCGTGTTTAAATATTGGTTATCTGATGGCTGACTCAGTGCAGCCTGGGAGGGAACACTATTGCTCCAGTGTTTTGTGTTGTCACTGTAAAGTGATATTGTTGAAGAATATTCATTATAGATGCATAATTATTCTTGGTACTTATAATACAACCAGCAGGATTGGGATGATGATAATATATCAGCACAGTGATGTATTGGTCAAGGTCCAGTCTGATGCCTTTTTCCTTTTGCAGCAGTTTAATTTACTTTACTGAGTAGATGTCAGCCTACTCTTTATATTGCCAAGTTAGCATATTGTCTGAAGACACGTATATTTGAATAACATAAGAGTACTTTTCAGCTCTTTTTTGTAGACTGTGTTTTTCTTTTTCAAAGTTCCTGTTTGAGGAAATAACAGGAAGCTACAGTTGGACACAATAACTGGAACTACGACTATTACAAAACACTGTAATGAAGTACTTCTATGCCTACAGTATATTCTCAAAATGTGTGTGTGTGTGTGTGTGTGTGTGTGTATGTGTATATGTGTATATTTACCACAGATGTCAGTCAAGATCTCTTTGCAAAATCATTAGAAGCTTCAGAAGTGTAGTAGTATTTGCAGGGTTTCTCAGATTATATTGTGTTGACAGGTGTTCTAGTTATTCTGGCCAGCCCCTGTGGTGTTGACAGCTTTTGGTCATGCTGTCACACTGCCTGTCATTATAATTTCCCCATCTTATGTGTTTTCTGTCCAGCCACAGACACACACGCTTGTGTTGCTGTATCTCATCACATTGAAGCCCTTTCCTACTCTACATCATATAGTCACGGAAGATGTCATGTGTTGTCTCCTTCCTATGGTTTTAGTTGTTTTTAAAGGCTATATTTCTTTCATTTATTATGTCATGTGGTCATTTGTGTTTGTTTTAAGATTCAATGTTATTATACGCTTTAGGTTTTGTTTTTTTTATTGTATATCAATTGTGTAGATTAGTAATTTCTTTTCTTACAATATTTGTGTTTTTAGGATGACTTTTTTCATATTTTAAATGAACTCAACCAATCTTTCCTCTTGTTTTCAACAGGTCATTTTCCTGGATGACAGGTGCTCATCCTTCATACAGATCCGTGGATCTATTCCTCTTTTCTGGGAACAGCCAGGAATCCAGGTAATGGAAACTAAGTCTGTCCTATAGAGCCAGTCTTGTTGTACACTAAGCTGTATTATTTGAAAATCATATAACATCCCTCATGTTTGTGTAGAAGTCCTGGCCATTTTGTAAATACTGCAGTTAGAGATGAGGCTCACTTGGTCTGCATGGTATAAGTGTAAACACTGAACTCTGATACAGCCTACGTGCATGAAGCTCTTGGAAAACTAGGGGGGAAAAAACTTTGTTTAAAATATATTGTGCTTGTCATTTGTTCCTGGGAAGACAATGTGAGGGGAATGGAAAATCTGCTTGTAATTTCTCTGGATATCTTTATTCTAGTTTTAACACATTTTGTTCATGCTGTGTTCAGAAAAAGTCTATTAAGGGTGTTTTGTTGCACCTGAATGAGAATCGGCACCCTAATGGACTGGATGAGAACCCCCACCTGGTATAGCCTTCTTTTTACTTTTCTTTTTTGGCTCTTTCTGGTGCTGGCACTTTCATACTGCAGATAGGGTTTTCTCTGTGCAGTGCCAAAGGTCAGGGGTCAAAACCAAGGCAATCCTTCTGTGGATTTTTTTTACAGGACCTATAGAGGTGTGATTTTGGAGATTTAAACTAGAAATTAGGATCACCCATTTATTCCACACTACAAACAGTATTACTTGGATTCGCCTGCCCTTGTCCTGACATTGCACAGACTGGTGGATTTTAGCAGACGTGGGGGAGGTTAATGCTAGATATAGTGGTTGGTAAAGGCCATTTTTCTGTTTTCCTCAGCTGCCAGACTTCTTGGGTCAGGTGAGAGCCTGGTCTGAAAACGTCCCCCAGCCACTCCCTTTCCCTTAGGCTGCTGATGATATTCCCCAGGCAATTGGTGTTAATTGATAATATGAAAGACTGAGCTGTTTGGCTAAGGGAAGACCATATTAGTTATCGTTTCAGCCCACAAGGTCTGTGCCTTGGTCAAAACATAGGGTAGTTGGCTCAGGGTTGTTTTCAGACAGAACTATAGACCTCCTTTTAAAGCACTGGTTTAGCTTCAGACCCTGCTACCAGCTGTGGCTTGTAGGTTTACTTTCTCCTCCTGATCCTCTCCAATTCATTCCCTGAGCAGAGTGGATAGCTTCTGTTTTTTTCTTTACCAGAAAAATAGTCATTGATATTTCTTCAGTTAGTGTAGGTCAGAAATAGTTGTGAATTTGTCTCTGAAAGTGTAGTGCAGTATCATATATCCCTGGGAGGAAAGATTAGTAAAGTGGTAGGATTGCCCCCTCTTTGTCAGTGAGTATGTAGACCCCTGGTTGATTTGAAGTTTTAGAACCAGAGCCATTGGTAGAACTAGTCATTAGTAGAAAATGATCACATGTGGAATCACAATAATATTCTCAAATATGTTTTAATATTTAGTAAGCACTAGATTTCAATAAATCTTGAGCAGCTGCGTTCAGACTTCACCAGTCACTCTCTAGGTGTTATCTGTTGAGTCGGAGGTGTTCAGCTGTAACCTGAGTTCTCTCAGATGTCATCTCAGGATGGTATTAAATATGCATAGCATAGACCTGGACAACAGTAGAGCGAGGAAGGAGTGACAAAATGGCAGCAGCATGGAGCAAAATCATAGGCCCGACTACAATAGGCACGTAAACACATGCAAGCAAATGAATGCAAAACTTAGGAAAGGATTAGCACATGGTGCAAAAGAAAGTCAAGACATAAACTGGAGTTGTAAAGAAGGAAAATAGAAGTCCTAAGGGATGACTGAAGGAGTACATGTTATCGAGTGACCAGTAGGAGGAAGAGGAGACAGAAACAGAATGGGGCAGGAGTGTGGTATTGGAAAAATATAAAAGAAAGTAGGGAGTGTCTGTTGACAGGAAGAGAAGGGAAGGAAACGGGAACAAGTTGGGACTTGCACTGCTTGCATGAAACAGCCAGTGAGATGGTGTCCTGCTGAGCTTTTAAAAATGTCATCGCATGTGGTGATGCCTGCCTCTACTTGTATATAATGTGAATCAGCAGTAGTATACTCAAGTGAAAGAGGATATATGACAATTGGTCAGACAAAGAGGCTATAAAATGTGGAAAAGTTCTAATAAAGGTGTTGGAGAGATGACAGTCAAGGATTTCTCTGCTGCTCATTGTCTTTGTCTCTGTATGAACAAATCTCCCTACGCTGCCCCTGTGTTGCTAGTGTCCTACCACATACTTTTTTTTGGGACACTATTATGGTTGCATTTCTGCTGTTAACATGTCGTCTAAAACATCTGTCCCAAATCCATTCTTCATCACCAGGTTTTCTGGCCATCTGCAACATGTGTGTTTATGCAACTTTCCTATTTTGATCTTTCCTAAGAAGGATACTGTGACTGTTTGTTTTTCTGATTATTTCTGCTCTGCAGGTTGGCTCTCATCGTGTCAAACTGTCAAGGGGATTTGAAGCAAATGCACCAGCATTTGAAAGGTAATTGAAACATACGTTGTAACGTGTGTATGTGTGTCACAGTTTCCATTGGCTTCATGTAGCCGTCCACAGATAGCCACTCCTCTGAGGAGCAGACGAGAAGACCTAACATTAAGTGTCCTGTAGTTACTGCCTGCGCTACAACAGAGAAAAGCTCCCCAGATTCTCATTGGAAAGATGTTAATTGAAGCCTGTCCTAAGATGCAGGAGACAAAAGGGACACGTTAGTAGCCCTGGATTAGCTGTTGAACTTAATAACCTGTATTGCAGATAGTTTCTTTGCAAAAGTCCTTCCCTGACTGTTTGAACACATCTTTTAGAGGTCAGATTATTTTAAGTCAAATGCATTATGTCATTGAATATCCCCACAATGATAGCTGTACAAATGTGAATGTGTGTCTATCCATGTGTGTACAGTGGCACGGTAAAGCTTTTTTTAATTCAACATTAAATAGTTAAGTATTGAAATGCTTCATTTATATGTGACACTTGGATCCAGAGACTGTTTGTCACTTTTTTCTAATTGTGTATTCTCAGTGGTTGTATCTTTCCAAGTTCTGCTCTAAAAGATGGAAATATAGCTGTGCTGCAACTATGGATTTGTTCTTGCTCATCTTGTTTTAACTGGCAGTAACTAGAGGAGACCAGGTAGACTGTAACAAATAAGCACTTTCACATCATTGTAACTTCACCTTTAAATATTAAATTTAAATCAGAAATTTGTAGCCTTGAGGGACAAATGTGACCTTTGATTTCACCTCTCTGTAGACAGGGAACACTGGTCGTTGCCCCCACATTACAGATGGAGGGTCAGCAGCAGCTTATACTAAGAGTTGCTAGTTTGCTTAAGGATGCTTAAGCCAGATGGGTCACTGGGGCCTAAACCCAGGCCCTGTAGAGGATATGATCACCACAATCACTGTGCCACACCTTGACAGTACCGTGCCTATCCCCATCCTTATCAACATTCTGTAGCTACCCTATCAGTCTTTTCTTTTCTTATTAGTATCATGAAAGTGTCAAGACAAGCGTGTTTGTTAATGTGACTAACTTTGGTAAACAATATTAAGTAGTTGGCAGTGTTACTAGCTTTGTAAGATCTCTTCATATTAGGAATCATGAGTCATCCTTTGTTATAGCTGGTTAGCTTTCTGCAGAAACAGCCAATTATGTCTCTGGTGACATTTCTTAGCTAGTACAAGGCCAACTTGAATGTCTTTTTATAAACACATAGCAGCCTGTAGCCCATATTTGCATGCATCCCTGCGGACTGGTGCTTTGTTTCTGTCTCTATCAATTTAAATTTTAAACCGATTTGAAAGAGTAGCTCTAGATTTTTAATTGTGCTGGCTTTGCACTCTCCTTAGTCACTCCAGACTGTATATCTTTACAAAAACAAATTCAAACCTTAGAAATTCTCTTTGTACCTACACCCTGGTTTTTGTCACTGTGCCGTTAGCACCTGTTGATGAATCTGAGAGATTTTGTGGTTCAAAGCATGAAGACATTTTGTCTCTGTGATGTCATTTTAGACCTATGCGATACTTATGTGCCTATATGTGTTTTGCAGACACTTCACTGCACTGCGGAGGTTGTATGGTAAACAGGTGATCATCAACCTGCTTGGGAGTAAGGAAGGAGAACACATGCTCAGCAAAGCATTCCAGGTGAGAGGAGCCATCCTCTGTACTAACAAGGACCAAACCTGGTCCAAAACACACTGGCAGTAAATAATACGTGTCAGAACAGATGCACCTTCTATTGTGTTTATAAACCCCACACACTATCAACAGAAAGGAATTCTTGTGAGTGGGTTGACACTGTGACTCGACAGCCTGTTGATGATCCTACTTGTAGCTGAGCAGTGACTGAACACTTTCAAAAGAATTTTTTTTTGCACTTATATACTAGATTTGCTTATTTCAAACACTGTGACTTGAACTCTTCTCATGTCACATAATCTTATGTGTGGGGCTGTCATAAAACCCCAGGACATTTGTTATTTAATACACAGCACATTAAAGAATACATGTCTGAGTTATTCATACCTGGAATTGTTCGCTCTTGCACAGGTAGTCTTTTAGCTAGGTAGCAATATGTTATCTGTTTAGCAAAAAGTGAGTTCATGATTTGTTGAATGCCAGGCTTTTCCATTAACAAGAAAGCACAGTCGACGGTTTTGCCAAATGTCAACAGAAGTCCAACTACTAAAACATCATATGCACATTTACAGCTTACAATCGAAGATTTCCTCAGAATTCAAGCTCCTGAATTTACATTATGAATTCAAACCGATGCAGCTTCAGACAGCACATGGTGCGTGCACACCATGTTTGCTTTCAGTTTGAATTTCTGACAGCGAGTCCTCCTCTTTCTGTTGCTCTCAGAGTCACTTGAAGGCGTCAGATCATGCAGCAGCTGTGAAAATGGTGAACTTTGACTACCATCAAAATGTAAAGGGAGGCAAGGCAGACAAACTCCACAGTGTTCTCAAACCCCAGCTCAGCAAATTCATAGAAGAGTGTGGGTTCTTCTACTACTCTGGAGAGATGGGTATCGTAAGGTGAGCAAGAAACACGAACACATATAGAGACGTATTAAATGTAAGTTTTGTAATGCTTTTTAACATTTTATTTATTTTAACGCTATGTCTTTTTAGGACTCAGGGTGGGACCATCAGGACCAACTGCTTGGACTGTTTGGACAGAACCAACAGTGTACAGGCCTTTTTTGCTCTTGAGGTAGGATTTTGACAGTGTGCTTGTTTTGTTATAACATAACATTTGCATTTATTCTGTTGAAGTCCAAAGTCTTTAGTGAGGATGGTTTTAGTCTAACGCTGTTGTTCCTCACCACGCCAGATGCTGCCAAAACAGCTGGAGGAGATGGGTCTGACAGAGAAACCACAGCTAGTGGCCAGGTTCCAGGAGGTTTTTAGGACTATGTGGTCTGTCAACGGAGACTCCATCAGTAAGATCTACGCAGGCACCGGAGCTCTGGATGGCAAGGCCAAGGTACACAGTATGGACACACTAAATACACAGAAATATACAAGTTTACAGATTAACCTTTGAGGTACATTGTAATACACAGTAGGCTATTAGAACAGCACTTGATATTGGATTTTCATTATCTGGTAATAATATATTACCAAAAATGGATTTCAGTACTTGAATGCTGCTCCAGACTTAGAAACATATGAAACATGATACAGCTCTTTGTGTTGTAACAACATCCTCCTATTTGTTGTTACTGGCTGGGCACAAAAGTGAAGGGCAGCGTTGAAGTGAATTCAGTAGACTTCAATATTGAATGTGTTACACTTTTAGTTGTATGTTTTATATTTGTTTATTTCCATGAAGCAAAGTGGACTTAAATATTGAATTATTGTGTAGACTTAAAACTTGCAAACAGTGGGCAGCTCCAGAATAGGCAGTCATGATAAACACTTGTTTCATAAAGACCGTTCCATCTAATATGAAAATAAAGCCTGAACTATGGCAGGTAACTTATCGGCAAACAACTGTTGACCAGTTCACCTCAGATCAGGCATGCTTGCAGCAGCTTAATATTTCAACTCATGAGCAAAAAATGGCACAAATGCTTCACTGTGCAATAAAGGGCAAAGTCCTGCACTGTATGTTTAACACAACCAATGTCTTAACCCTCCTGTTATGTTGCGGGTCAAATTGACCCACGAACATAACTGCTTTAAATGAGACAAATATTTGATATGAAGAAATGAACATAACAGGAGTGAACCCTCCTGTTATGTTCATTTCTCAGGTGATGCCTGCTCAGCAGTTATGGTTGTGGGTCAATTTGACCCGCAACATAACAGGAGGGTTAATTTGTTACTTTTGACTTCAATGTTAAAGCTTAAATGGCATTTTATAAGTGGTAATGGCTAGTTGTGTACTGTGCATGCAGTGAGTGCAGAGTTCTGCATGGATAGTCTTATCTGTTCTGTGTGTAGAACTGACTGCTTCTGTTTCTTAACTCTTGTGTGCTATCTCTTTCTGCTGTCCTCTGGACCTCTCGACCCACGTGGTAAGTTAATAAGTCGGTCAGTATTTTTGAGCTGTGGGTCTCCGTCTGGTGCATTATTGATTTCAGTGACTCCTGGATAAATGTTGATTATAAGAATGAAGGAAGGGATAGGTGGAACCACTTTTTGTCCGTCCCCCCTTTTGTGTTGAGGGATCATTTTCTTAATGTAGCGTCATTTCCTAAATGATCTGGCAACATCTGCTGTCTTTTTTGAATGAACCTGGAGGAATCAAACTGATATTTAGCAGCATTTATCACCATGTTGCACATCAGTCAGTGAAATTTTGAAGTCGCACCTGATTCTGCCTGTCAGTTCAAAAATCTATATTTCTCTGAAGTGTTTTTCCTTTTCTTCTCTTCCATGGTTGGATGGGGCAGTAGAGACTCTTAAATACAAAGTGGGAGTGTAGTTAATAATCTTGGTTTCTTTTATGTCTTGTGTTGACTTTCTTTTTGTGTGTATGTCTTTTCGTAGGCGGGGAAGCTAAAAGACGGAGCTCGCTCTGTGACCAGAACCATCCAGAACAACTTCTTTGACAGCTCCAAGCAGGAGGCTATAGACATCCTGAGGCTGGGCTCAACACTGAACAGTGATTTGGCGGACAAAGCTCGGGCCTTGCTCACCACTTCTAGTCTTTATGGTAATTCTTTATAACATGGCATCGTATTATTTTATTGAGTTAAAACCCTAAAATCCTCTTGGTGTAGCAAAAAATGATTTTGCTCTCTATTACGTGTTGCAGCATTTATATATTGTACTTGTAATATTAGGAATATAATTTCCTTTCTGCTACGTTGGGGTGGAATTGATCTAATATTTTGAGTTTTGACCCATATCTGTTGGAGCCTTGTTAGCTAATAAATTGCTCTGCATCATAGAAGGGTTCATTTGCACCGCATCAAGTGGGATGAGTAATCTTTATGGTTCAGGTTTCTGTCACAGTTAGATTAATACTGACAAACTGCTCTGCTGGTACTATCTGTGAAAGCACTGGTTAACCCGCCCTTGTCTTCCTTCTCTCCCCCCCTGCTCTTGCACACAATTTTAGCCACTGAGCCCGTCTTACAATCAGGTATAGTAACCAGCAGACTGCCCCCAGTGGATATACTGTACTTTTTCATCCCCTGCCACATATTGTAGTTGTCTTTTCATCTGTGTTTGCCACTCATTATTATTTACTCATTTATTATCCAGTGTTGGTAGTGGTTTATCACTGTCTGTTGTATATCATCAGGCTCCTGTGACAGTGATTAAAAGAAAGAGGATGCTGATTTTTGCAGTGAAATTGAAGATTCCTTTAAGTGGAAATTTAGAGAGTGAAATGAACCATTACCAAGGTGGATTATTTGGATTTTACTTGTGTTTCAGCAACAGTTTTGATCCCTTTTCCAGTGTGGATTTGTTTTGTACTTGGATCTTCTCCCATCAGTTTTGTTGGTTTTGTTTAGCTTTTTGCCTATTTTTGTCGAGTCCCAGTATGCCACCATTCCTACAGGCCCACAAATAATCAATAATTTTACACTCTTACCATACTCTCCTCTGCAGCCTCCCCGAGAGTATTACTGGGTATGTGTCAGAGCCACCATAAATACACAAGGCCCAAGCAGATCCGGGTGTGTGTCGGCACCTGGAATGTTAATGGGGGTAAACAATTTCGGAGCATTGCTTTCCGCAACCAGACACTCAACGACTGGCTCTTGGACGCTCCGAAGAAGGCAGGGCAGCCTGAGTTCCAGGGTATGTATTTTTTTTATTTGTCCTAATGAAGTGAGAAGCTTGATACCACTGTCATGTCTTAAAGTAAATTAAAATAGGTTGCCTTAAAGGAAAAGTTTATATGTTATTATAACTGGAGTATTGCTGTCATAAAATGTGTCTGTAGTTAGTACAAAATAGTACATATTATTGTCACTGTAGATTTTTATTATAGACTGCTTTCAGGGAAACACTTGGATACAGTCGCTACAGAAATGGAGTTAGTAGAATTTTATACTAACACAAAATTTCATATTGAAAACTAAAACCCAGGTCTTTTTTTATTAAATTACTATGGTAGTACCAAAATATTATAATCAGACATTTGTGTTGACCCAGGTGTGTTTTTTCTCTTTACAGACAGCAAAGCCAACCCCATAGATATCTTTGCCATCGGTTTTGAGGAAATGGTTGAACTGAATGCTGGAAACATAGTCAGTGCTAGGTATGTTTGCAAGATTCTAGCCTGAGGTAACAGACCTGTCCTTTGTCTCTCAGAAGAGTTTATGTAATAGCAAATACAGCTATTGGTCTGTGCTCCACGCAGTCTGTTCTTCAACTAATATGAAGAGCACTGTCGTTTTCACATTGAAAGTTAAGTTGTAAATCCCATCAAAAAATGGTATGGAAAAAAAAGTTGTTTAAAAATGATCATGCCTTGAATTTGCTTTTGAGATAACACTTCTAAAAAACACTAATGTGTTTTGTGCATCTTAAAATTTAAAGTGATACCAAGCACTATAAGGCATCTTTCTGTTCTTGTCTCAGCACGACTAACCAGAAAATGTGGGCAGCTGAGCTCCAGAAAAACATCTCACGGGACCACAAGTATGTGCTGCTTGCTTCAGAGCAGCTGGTGGGAGTGTGTCTGTTTGTCTTCGTCCGCCCACAGCACGCACCCTTCATCAGGTATGAACATTACACATTCTTAAGGAAACTCACAACGTAAATCACAGGTGTATTAACAGATGTAATCTTCTTATTCGATATGTTTTCCAGGGATGTAGCTGTAGATACTGTAAAAACTGGAATGGGCGGGGCCACAGGCAATAAGGGAGGTGTGGCTATCCGCATGCTGTTCCACACCACCAGCATCTGCTTTGTCTGTTCCCACTTTGCCGCTGGCCAATCACAGGTCAAGGAAAGAAACGATGACTACCATGAGATCACACGCAGGCTCAGCTTCCCCATGGTAATAACAGACGCTAACAAATCAGTTTCAAAACGCTTTCTTACCAGACATGCATGCATGCATTACCGTATCTATCTTGTCCCACAGGGTCGTCTGCTGTACTCGCATGATTATGTGTTTTGGTGTGGTGACTTTAACTACCGTATCAACCTGCCCAATGAGGAAGTAAAGGAGCTGATCAAACAGCAGAACTGGGATGCCTTGACAGCTGGGGACCAGTTGGTGGACCAAAAGAATGCTAGTTTTGTATGACCTATTACCACATACAGCAACAGTTTATGAGGTTTCACCTAAAATTGATTACACATGTTTTAGGTTTTATCTGATCAAAATATTCCTTTTAAATGTATTCCACAGATCTTCCGAGGCTTTATTGAGGGAAAGCTAGATTTTGCTCCCACCTATAAGTATGACCTCTTCTCAGAAGATTATGACACCAGCGAGAAGTGCCGCACACCAGCCTGGACTGACCGCATACTCTGGAAGAGGAGAAAGTGGAACTTTGACAAAACAGGTGAGATGAGCCACTGCAGGTAAGTCTTACCAACCTGAATAATCTCCTTCCCCTCTGTCACTGGCAAAAATAGATGTCAGACTTTTCATGTCTGCCTTCTTCAGTTCTGCACTCATGCATGATAAAATAAAAACTATGAAAGTATAGAACTGAAGCATCAGAGTAATTCTACTGTCTACGAATGTACTTCTGCTCATTTATGCATTTGTGCATGTTTTACAGCTGAGGAGATGAATGTAGAAGCTGCCACTACTACATCTGGAGAGAATGAGGATGACCCAGCCCACCCCTGGAGCCCTGGTACTCTGAAGTACTATGGCAGGGCTGAACTGAAAACATCAGACCACAGGTAACTAACAAGATGCATCAACAAGAGTCGAGTGAATGAATGATATGTGTGAAAACACCACAGCAGCATAATATCTCATTTCTTTTTAACATCACATATGTGCTTTTCATACATGGACCCACATTTTCAAGTAAAACAAATAATCCCATAGTCTGAGCTACAAAAGGTGCAAACCAGTTATGCTGTTTTCAGTGTTTCTCTGACCTTCTGAACATAGATCTCAATGTACTTCTGCAGGTTATTGCAGTACAGGTAGAGGACCGGGTCATGGACAAAGTCATCAGACCTCATTTTCTAGAAGTTTTCCTCTCTGGTTACCTTGTTTTTTGTCTATCTTTAGGCCTGTGGTGGCATTAATAGATGTGGACATCCTAGAGGTTGACCCAGAGGCTCGCCACCAAGTCTATAAAGATGTTATTGCCCTGCAGGGGCCTCCAGACGCCACCATCCAGGTGTCACTCTGCTCCTCTGGCCCTGATGATTACTTTGACGATCAACTCATAGATGAGTTGTTGGACAAGTTTGCTGATTTTGGAGAGGTCATCCTCATCAGGTGAGCCTGACATCCTAACACAGACAGACATTTTTCACCCTTAGATGGTCAGACTCCATTGACGATATCCTTGTTTATGCAGATTTGTTGAGGAGAAGATGTGGGTGACCTTCCTGGAAGGGTACTCTGCTCTTGCTGCGTGTTCTCTCAGTGCTTCCACTGTAAGTCATCACTGATTATCTAATTACTTATAAGCTTTAAAATGTCCCCATACATTTTAACATTATTAATATGAAGTGACTATCCTTTAACTCAGTGACATAATTTGTTTGACCTCTGTGTCTCAAACACACACAAAAATCATTTCTCTGTAACACTGTCATCTGTATATCATGGTAATCTCTACTTCTCTCTTATCTGTGTCTCTTGGGTACATTGTAGGTCCTTGGCAAGCTGATTGAAATCCGTTTAAAGAGTCCAGGCTGGATCAAAAGCTTTGAAGAAGAGATGAGCGTGGAGAGGATCTGTGGAAACATCCCCACCTCGGCCAGCTCCAGTCTGCTTGCTGAAGATGCGGACATGGGCGAAGATGATTTTGATATGGAAGGTGAGGGGTGATGGCCATACAATCCTGGTCCTTTTCTTGAAAATATGGACTGTAAATACCAGTTTGTCTGGGTTTTTTTGCCACCACTGATATACTGTTCTCTTGTCTCCTGTACTAGGTGATGTCGATGAGGAGGTGGAGGATATCCTCCCCCAGCACCTGCAGCCTGGAGCTGGCTGTGGCCCTGGATCCTCTCCTCTCCCCTCCCCCCGCAGTAGTCCCTGTCCCTCCCCAACCCATGGAGAACCTGCAGCACCCAGCAGGCCTAGTCGTGCACCACAGCCCTCCCGACCATCACAAGGTGAATACATCTTGAACATGACACATATCTGGAATCGGTCTCCTAAAAGTACTGTGTAGTCATCTGCTCTGTCTGCTTCTTTATAAACTGTAATTTTATTTTGTTTGTGATGCATGGAAACTGAAGTAAGTCTATCAACACTGAGGAGAAAAATTCCATGTGATGATTTAATCTGTGTTTAGTGTTGGAAGACTTGTGGTGTGTCTTGCAGTAAACTACTCATAGCAGTATTAAATGTGTGCAGTGTTAGCATTATCATTTCTTTGGTCAACACTGAATCACAGCTGTGCATGAGGCCGAACTGAGAGACAGCACAGTGTTGAAAAAGTCTGTTAGACTTTTGAAAATAGCTCTTTTCCGGGAAATTGTCTAAAATAACTTTTCTGTACTGGGTGAAATTCCAAGTTCTCGTGTTAAGCTGCAAAAAGGTGAGAATGTGTTGATCAGTTAAAGCACTCCCTTCCCATGCATAACTTTGCAAATCTTTTATTGTTGTGTAATTCCAGGACCTCCTGTTGACTTCCAACCTGGTGCCCCAACATCTCAAGGCCTGGAGCCCAAACGCCCGCCTCCCCCTCGTCCCACTGCCCCACCAGCCAGACCAGCACCACCTCAGCGCCCACCGCCACCTTCAGGTGAAGCATCATCTTTAACCTGCCTGTACACAGTTGATTCAGATCTAATTTTCAGACATTTAAATCACAGATTTATTAACTGTGATGTTAGTTATAGCAAGTAAATAAAACTGTAAATTAGAAGTGTGGATGTTTAGATTTTCAACATGGAGATACTTTAGGCAGGTGTTAACACTTTTTATCCCATTGCTTCACCTCACGCCTGAAGGAGGTATGAGCCTTCTGCCAGTTAGAAAGGACTCTGGAGGTAAAGCGATTGCTGTGGAACTGTGTGTTCATCTGCTTACTTTGCAGAAGCAAATCGTGGCATTTCTTTATTGCTGATTCAGTAAGCTTTCATTACTATAGGGTTTCATTTCACATTTCAGTTCAGTCACTGGGCTATGAAGCAAGAAATGTTCACATTGCAACACCAGTGAACACGTACTGTAGCTCAACTGATATGGTGCTCCTGAGAATGTAAAACCCAACGGTGGGCTTTATATGTGACTACTTCCATTTTATGGGACTGTTTCAGACCATGCTTTGTTGATCATTCAGCCCAACAGGGATTTATATTAGAAAGGGCATTATCACAGGGCACAGAGCAAAATTACTCTACAGTTACTGTATAATACTTTAAATAATGGACAAAAAGCTGGATTTATTCATTGAAACTTGACTGACATTTAACCCTCTCCTACATCTGATTGGATGTACGCACCAATGGACTGTTTTTGGGTTTAGTTTAAACTTTTCAGCTCGATAAAAGATGGGTTGTTGCTGAAACTATCCCTTCAAAATCAATCTCAGAATAATATCTGCTGTGGAAACGGGCCATGCAGCTGCTGAGTCGTGCCTGGCTTTTGGTGACTAAGTCATACATTAAGTATGTGTTAAAGAGGTTTTGGAGTTGAGAGGTGGTGAATGATCTCTTTGGGAAAGTTTATCACTTAATGCTTGTGCCTATTTAATCACACCCCATTGTACTGATGTTGGTTGATGCACGTTTACTGTGGTATATCTTTGTGTACTGTAAAAGACTGATTACTCCACAATGTGTTGCCCTTATTTAAAGTTATTTAATGAGGGTCTGGCTACTAGTACATGTACTGTGGTATATCTTTGTGTACTGTAAAAGACTGATTACTCCACAATGTGTTGCCCTTATTTACAGTTATTTAATGAGGGTCTGGCTGCTAGTACATGATGTATTTTTATACTGTACTAACAACACTGCACTACAACTACTTTTTGTTGTTGTTGTTGTTTTTTTTTTTTTTGCTATACCTTATTTTGAAAATTCTGTTTCCCCTCTTTGACTCTAAGACTGTGGTGAATGTCCTAGCCCACTGCTTGGTAGGAGAGGCAGTGAAGGTAACTGGCCAGATGGTGTCTTTAAATGTTATACGATCCCTGTAGGATTACACCCAGACATCAGTGTTTCTAATACTTTGTTGATATTGGTGGTCCGTTGTTGATCAGTTCTACGTCTCCATCTTAGTTTTTGTGTTTGTGTTTGTGTTTGGTAGCCTGTTGTAGAAAAACTATTTTGTTTATTTAAAGGCAGAATAAGTTGGGAGGTCAAAGGGCTACAGGGACCAAATGTACTCTCACAATTACTGCTCCACTAGAGGCCCAAAGACAGCATTTCTTCTTCTTCATTTAATATTTAGTGGTGGTTGTAAGTGTAATAACCTTTAACATTTGTACTGGGGTCTGACATGAAATATCACAGCTTGTGCAAGAGGGAAGATCAGAACATAGGTAGTCATCCTTCCCACATTAAAGTCAGGAATAGTGAGGTATACACATACCCAGGTGCTTGCACATAGTGAGGAACAGAATACTCTGCCATGGACTAAAGAAGTGTTTTTAGTGTTTTAGTGATAATACCCTTCATAAACGGAGAGATAATGTGAGCTAAAGCTAAATCAGACTTAAAGTGGTCTCAGTCAGCCTGGCTACAGTAATCCTCTGATTTGTAGTAAGATCCTCCTCATGCACATAAAAATTTAGACTCACAGCATCTCAGGCTTCACTGCTTCTCTGCATTATTACCACCATATGCTACTTCTAGTGCCTCTTGTGAATTGTTGTCACTGGGAACACTTGCTTCCTGTGACTACAGTGCCACCTTGTTTATAACAGTAATGTGGTTTGGCTTTCTTTGTGCTGCAAAGGAGCAAAGAGCCCCGTGCTTCCTCGGCCAGATGCTCCTGCAGGTGAGTGCCACAGAGCGCAACTTGAACATTAACCTACTAGTTGATACAAGCATTGTTACTAAGTGATGTGGGTTTGTATTTGTCCCATTAAAGCCCATCTTTGTGTGTGGGGGGATAACGTGGGGTGAGATTATCCCTCTCTTGTCTGCATTAATCCTATGTTATGTGTTTATGCCCTGACACAAAATATCCCTTTCCCAGGGTAGAGGATGGGGTTTGGTTGCGTTAGCCTATCATTGAATTGGCCTGTCTTCACCTGACCCATTTGTATGGTGTGTGTGTGTGTGTTTAAATGAATCCCTGTGTCACAGTAAGGGTGTGTGTGGTACAGTGAAGTATTACACAGAGACGGACATCTAAGTGGCGTGGGAACAGGTTTGCAAGCACTTCAGCAAGAGAATAGTGAAAGAGAAGGTGTGTGCTTGCAAGCTGTCTGGTAAACAATTGGCTCACAGAACAAGGCCTGCTGCTCATCCAGGCCTCCTGCAGCCCAGGAATGGCTGAATTCTCATTAATAATGAAGTCAGCCATAGGTAATTTGGTCTGTCATAGGTTGGGGTTGGTTTGTAGCGTACTCATTTTTAATTGAGTACAGTACTAGTTTGAAAAGAGAGTTTTTCAATGCTTTGATCCTCCCATAACCTGAAGTTCTCCTGCTACTCTGTACATCTCTACCTAGTGGGCACATGGTAAATACAAAAGAGTACAAAAGTTTTTAGTTGCTAATGTAGCTGCTTTGTCTCCTTTAACTCTTTCAGGTCGAGGCCAGGCAGCAGCTGGAGCTTCTGGACCTGGAGGTGCTCCCAGACCTGTAAGATTACTAATATGATTATTCATTAGCAAAAGATTTTGACTAGCCTGTTGACGTCTATCCAACTTGTTAATCTCTCCCTATTTTATATTCCCTCTTGGTCCTCCAGAATATCCCTCCTCGAGCCGGGGTGATCAGTATGCCCCCTCAGTCTCGTCCACTGCCCCCCTCTCACCCTGGAGCTCCCAGACCTATCCAAGAGGTGCATCCCGGGGCCCCTCTGCCCATTCCAGACACTCACCCCGGAGCTCCACGCCCTGTGCCCAGTGCCCAGGCTAAACCATTTGAGTTGCCTCTGGGTAAGTGAAGTGTTTTTACAGAAGACAATATACTAGATTATTGACACTAGAATGTAAATAATGTGATACAGTGAAATTTTTTTTAAGCCTTAATTCTGTTCTGTTTCTTCTCTCAGGACCAGCTCCCACAGGGCCCCCTGCAGTGAGACCCCAGGTGCCATCACCCATGCAGCCCCAACCCGTCGCCCCTTCAGTTCAGTCCCAACTCCCTCCACCGATGCTGCCCACCTTTCCGGCTCCTCTCCAGCCACAGCAAGCTGCTGCAGCCCCTAAAACAGGGCCTACTCCTCCCCCTCCTGCTGCTTCCGCCACCCCTCCTGGGCCTTCACAGAGTCTAGCTTCTCCAAAACCTCCACCGCGTTCTCGTTCCTCTCACGTTCTGCCATCTGATGCTGCCAAGTCAGAGACAGCCCCAGCCGCACAGGTTGGTGCCAACTTCCTTTTCATGAAATGATTTGAATTTAGGCAACTGAACAAAGAACACTACATTTTTAGTACAATGAAAATATTCTGCATGTATGTAGTCAACTCATGCACTACAGATTGTTGCTCAGATTCAATTTATAAACAAGGTCTTTTATGCTAAATTATCACAAGTGTAGGAGGTGGGCCGCTGCAGTAGGAAAAGAGCCTCTTTCTGCTCCTTTGTCTCACATCAGATGAGCTTAGTCGTCTGTGTCATTCTTCCTGCTTTGTTCTCTCTGTCTCTCTGATACATTTGTCTCTCTCTCACAAGCTGGAGAAGCCCTCAGGGTGAAAGGTACTTGATATTAAACCACCTCTTTGTCTCATCTCCATAGCACAACATGCTCTGATGTTATTACATCTAGTAACCTCCACCTCTCTCTTTTCGTAATTGGTTTTTCCTTCCTTTATCATCTCCTCCCAAGTTATTTTAACTTGTATGTTTAAAGTCTTCTGTAAGGCCATGCGTTGTTTTGCGTTGGTACCACCAAATGGAGCATTATTTGTTTTTGTTTTGTCAGTCAACGTATCAAACATGACATTTAGAGAAAAATAGAGATCAAAATGTGATTGTTGACAGTTTGCTTTTCACTAGTCCTTTCATATCTGCTCACTGCAATTCAGGTCTTTCAAGTGAGCACATATGCAATGACATCATAATTTAATTTGACATTTCGTTAGATTTGTATTATTTCATTTGTATGTATTAGAGTCAGTGGTTGTGTGTGTGAACCGTGATACATAAATGATTTGTTAGCAGTAGTCACTGTAGTAAACTAAAAACAGTACATGTTTTATGTTGGCCTGATTGAAGGTATCCTATGGAGTCTTTGATATACAGACAGACAGATGCACACATCTAACACCTTGCTAGCTAGGCCATTGTGAAGCTCATCTCAAAGATCAGCCTTGCCATCAAAGTGAAGAGGAATAGAAGTGTTTACTAATGTAAACATGGATACAAAGAATGCTGGTTTCAACAGTCAGAAATTAGCCTGGTAAATGCTGTATACACTATGTTAAGTAAGAAACACTGAATGTAAATATTATAACTATTTGTTAAAAAAGCTCCATGGGGTACCCGTAGCATTTCTTTGAGCTTAACTTATAAAAAAAAAAGTACAATCTATTATTTAAACACTTTTAATATTAGCTTTTAATAAAGATTCTCTTTGTTTTGTTGCTCCTCAGACAAATGGACTGAATGGAATCCTAAGAGAAGCACAATGGAAACCTGACCCCTTCGACACACTTGCATGTGACTTCCTCCCCTCATCCTCCTCCTCCTGGCACACCACCCAGTCCCTGACTAGAGGCTTGTCCCTGCGTACTCCCCCCTCCGTTCCTCCGTCTTCCTCAAGCACTCTCCCTCCATCCTTCTCTCTCCAGTCCTCCACTCTGTTAGACCTGCAAGCGCTTGATTCATCCTCCTCTTCCTCACTCTCCACCCCATCGCCTTTCGCCTCGTCCCTGCTGCCGCCTCCTCCAGTCCCGTCTCGCAGTCGCTCTCAAGAGACACTGCGTGCCTCCCCAGGCCCCTTTGTGACTGACCCACTTCCTGCCCGACCCAGCAGCACCAATCCCTTCACAGGCCCACTGGGGCATCAGCAGCACCGCTCGCTCACCCCAGACTTCAGCATCCAGCATACAAACCTTCAGAAAACTATGTCTGCTCTTTCTCAGCCACTCATTCCTACCCCTGCTCCAGCAGCTGCCCCCATCCCTGCACCCACCTCCCAGCCCCAAAAGACCACATCCCTTTTTGGACCATCATCCATTTTCAGTCCTACACCTGCTCCTGTGCTCTCCCTTGTACCTGAACCCTCTCCTGCTCCTGCCTTGCCTCTGGCACCACCCTCCTCCATTCCACCTGCTATTGCACCTCACCGCCAGCCACCTCCCCCAGGAGGAAAAGTAAGCCAGCAGTGGGTCACTTTTGATGACGATTTGGATTTTCCTTCTCTGACCAAAACATCACAGACTGCTGTGTTCCCTTCTAATTCCCTAGTGTCTCAAACCCAGACTCAGCCTTCCTGCTCCTTGTTGGATTTGGAGCCCGACTGGTTATCCCCAGCCCTCCCTTCTGCCATCCCAACTAGAACTGCAACCAGTAACCTGAAACTCCCAGGGGGAACCAGTGGCGACTGCTTCTTTTCCAGGGAGTCGACAGAAAGATAAGATTGCCCTTAATATGTAGAGGGCATATCCAGATATGTATAGATCTATGATAAATGTGTGTGTGTGTGTTTGTATGCACAAAAGAGACGGTATTTAAAAAGCATAGACCAGTCCCCTTGAATGACAGGAAAGGATTTATATTCTTGAGCAGGAATTTGAGAAGCGTATAAGCCTAAACATATGTTCTACCGTTACCACAGAGAAATTTGCTCAGCCCCTGTTATTAACATGTATTTTAATATGAACCATTCTGATGTTTATTTGTATTTATGGCAGTAAATATGTCTGTGTCTATGGTATATAGTTATACAATTATATCTATACGCACAAATCGTGTCATCTGTGCAATATCAAGACTTCCTGTGTGGCCGTGCAGCGCACAGCATGCGCCTGTTTCAACGAAATCAGCGTTACCTTCACATTGGTTATTTGCAAACACACTGCGGTTCATATTCCTCATTTTGACTGACCTGTACATCATAGCGGGATTCTCAGAGTAGATGGTATTCTTGTGCTTTCTGTGTCCTCAGCAAGTAGAAGGCTATGCACTGTAGGTCTTACTTCGCCCCCAAATCTGCTGCTGTCTACAAGACTTGCATTGCTTTGGCTTTTTTTGGTTCTGTTGTGTCCGAGTGGTACAAATCTAAAAATCTTGTGCTTTTTTTTGTTAAAATCACAAACGTACTTTAAATTGCACAGGGTTTTGCCATAGCCTCCTTGCTGACACAACAGCATGACTCGGTTCAGCTGCAGGGCTGGTGCTCTGTAACATCTCATCCACTTGATAGGAACACTTTTTTTTTTCTTTTGTCATCGTTCTCTGTCAATGGGCTGTTACACTTAGCTGAATATATTTTGTAAATTTACAGTATATCAACACCACCTATACATAATAATGTATGTTTTCAATATGTGCTTATGTGTGTCTGTGATGACTGTATCAGTGGTTTGCACAATGTAACTGATATGCACTGAAATGCTGTATGTGCTCTCCTGGTTGTAATCTTGTTGATGGCAGAGGAACAAAACCGAGATGCTGCGGACTGACAAGATGATAGAGCCATTGGCCCTCTAGCGTTCTGATCCCTCTTGATTTATCCAAAGCTTCATACCATACTGTTGTCAGTCCAGAGAATGTGGAACACGTGTGTGTGTGTGTGTGTGCGCGCGCACGCGTGTGCATCTGTTAGTCTGAAGAAGATGCCACTTGCATCTGTGGACATGGCAACAAGCACATGCCAGGCACAGTAATAAGAGGGCACTTTTTTTTAAAAGACGTTTAATTTTTAAAACCTTTTACTCTAAGTAATCTATTGACACTGGTGAGAAGTAATGTGTTTTGTTTGAGGTGTATATTGTCTGTCCCTGTGTTTGGCAGTGAATGTGTGTACAGAGTTAACCTAATACCAGAGCTTTTCCCCTAGAAAGTAATCTCTTTCAGATACACACAGTGTATTTCCTTATACGTTCTAAGTTTAAAGCTACTGTATTCACTCAGTCATGGCTGTAACTGTGTATTTCTGCTCTTCATCCTGCTATGGAGAGACATCATTGTACGCAAAACTGTTAATAAAACACAAAGGAACTTTGTCCTCATAGCACCCGCCACCTGAGTGAGGATTCCACTGTAGCAACACTAGGGTTGGGTATCATTCCAAACGTTTTAATACCAGTGCTGATATACCTTGACTTCGATACCGGTTCCTAAACAATACTTTTTTCAATGCCAGTTTTACTAAATAAATTTTAACAAAAAGAAATATTCATACATTACACATTTTGGTCCACATCATTAGTTTCATTTTTCAATACCTTGGCATTTTTGTGCAGTCAAAGCAGTTTCCTAACATAAAAGGTTAACCTATTTACCTTTAAGAACCTTAAGTTCTGTTAAAAAAATAGAAATACTAATTTAATACTCGGTGGTATTAAAGTAATTTGATTAATGCCATAAAAGTATTGAAGTTCGATACCCAGGACTAAGCAACACTAATGGCATCACTAGAAAACATTTCCAGTTGACGGCACCATGTATCTAACCCTTGGCTGTTTGAGAGTAATTGGTACTGATCCTCATCAATTTCTTAACCATTCCTGAGGTGCATGTGGTGTTGTCAGAGTTTTCATCCTGTGCAATCAACTTCTTTCTTTGACTGCTGTTAAGTTTTGTAAGTCAGCATCAGTGTTGACAATCAATAGGTTTGCAAAATTATCAGTGAGAGTATAGTCCTTCCTCACATGACACATGCCAATTGCTGTAGTCTACTCAGATGCGGTCCCCCTATGTCTTAAAGTCATTTTGATGATCCATGGAAGATAAAATATACAGTACAATCCAAGAAAGCCAGCTAAGTAATGCTTTTGTGCTCTGTTTAATCATATATAAAATAGCTAAAAAGTCTTCATTCACTGCACTGAAAGCAGTCGCTATCTATGTAAGGAGGTGTAACAGGTTGCCTTTGCTTACATGTCAATATCTCTAAAATGCATTTATCGTGTTCAGATGTGTGCAGTAGATACTGTATCTGCATTAACAGTAGGTGACTAGCCAGCGCTTTGTGTCACATCATGTTCAAAATGAGATTTTATAGGAATGTCCTTTTGTGAGGTTGGTGTCCCTTTTATGGTTATAATCCATAGTAAATAAGAGTCTGTTGTTGAACATATTCTGTATGTATTCAAGAGAAAACATGAAGCTGCAATTCATGTTAATATCCAGCGTTCCATATTTTAAGTGAACAACTGACTGAACATCTATGTATGAAGCAGATTATGTTGTATATATGCAAAAATAAATGTCTCTTGTGCTGAGTGCTGATTGTTTTCTTTTTTTGTTACAGGCTATAATTTTATTGCACAACAAAAATTAGTCTTGCCTGTAAATTACATCTACTCAAAATGTCATGTAGCTTAGGTTGACTGGCAACTCTAAATTGCCTATTGCTGTGATTTTGGTTTGTGTGGTTGTTTCTCTACATGTCAGCCCTGTGATATATTTGCAACCTGTCCGGGGTGTACCCTGCCTCTTGTCCACTGTCGGGTGAAATTTGTTATTCCCAGGGAATACTTGTTAGTATGATAAATTAATTGCTGGTTTTGTTTTTTAATGGGGTTTTAACAATAAAATAATAGCCTTATTCAGGCCTCAGTTTTGCATGAGGACATTCCCCTCATGATACAAACTGTATTCCCATTATTTACCACTAGAGGGCTGTAAGGCTGTTTGGATCAATATAACGTACCGTAAAAAGATCAGAAGAAGTAGTTTGTGTCGGGATGGGGGAATCCTCATGGAAATTTTATCTAGTAATGTCATCCCGTTTAAATTAAGTGTGAGCCCAGTTTGAATCGTGTAGG